GAGATAATTTGCATAAGGTAAATTGAAGATAATATGTAAAGAATTGTGTAATAAGCAAACTTTTTAAAGTGTATATACCAAGGCACAAAGATTTTAGCTTAAAGAAATCAAACCTCAATATTTTCTTAAGTTAAATAATAAAAATAATTATATGATTCAAAACCCAAAGTGGGCCTTGAAATTATCCAATATCCAGGAGATTATAGTAGATTATCAAATCAAAGCAGTGAGAGTTTAAATGAATTGTTGGGAAATTAATGAGAATTCTCTGAAACTCATCTGATTTCCCAGCCTAGCAATCTCATTTTCGAGGCTAGTCAGTACTGAGACATTACTTATTATAGCAAAGTGTACTATACATTTGATTTCCAAAGAACATCATCTAACTTTAATATTTGTGTACCCCTTGAAGTGACATCTCACAACCAAGTTGGGCAGTGGCAAAGATAGGTGTTAAGTAGCAAACTGGCTGAAGTGGGAGAACTATGAGTTAATTCACTTTCCTTTTTACCAATCTAACTAATTTTCTATAAAGTTGCTGAGGTACCCTCAACCAACAAGCCTTCTACTCCCTTAGTCTACTGTGAAAAAAATTTAGATTTTGCTACTCATGAACTTACCTGTGTTTGTCTAGTTCAGTGGCACATCTGACTTTACATATAACCTACACACAGAAAATAAAAAGAAAGTTTTGAAAACACATGTAATATAATACTTTAAAATTTGTTTGACTTTGTTATAAAATGATAGATTATAAGTAATAATGCATAGCAAGTGAAATACAAAAGTTAACTATCAACAAGAAAATATAGGTAAGCTTCCAAAGTTTTAAAACAATAAATAAAAAACCTGTTAAAAGCTTTAAATTTAAATTACTAACTTTATATATTTAAACTTATTGAACTTTATTATGAGCCTCACATCATGCTAGCTGGCTTCTCACTTATAATACATTTCATTGTATTATCCTTGTCTTATTCTAAAACAGAACTTACTTAAATATGAATTTACCTGACTGTTTTACAAAGACTATTTTCCCTTAAATGGAATGAAATAGTAAAAAGGAAAAATGAACACAAAAACATATGTCATATTTAATAAACTTCCTTTCTTCACAGTCTTGAGCTTAATTTGTCCCATTACCATGATGTTAACAGTGATCAACTGGCTAAGGTAGTATTTGCCACATTTTTCTGCTAAGTTCTTATTTTTTCATGCTATAATAGTTACACTGGAAAGTTAGATATTATGTAAATATCTTTTACTGTTCAACCTTTCACTCTCTAGTTTTATCAACCATCAATAAATCTTGCCTGAAAAAATTATGATCATGGAGTAATTTCTTTTTTTTTTAAGTAAATATGATAAGCTATCCAGGATTAAGGCATGATCCTTTGATATATATGAAAGATATTTTATCATCTAGCTCCACTTTCCCATCATTATATCCTTTTATCACTAACCTTTAATCTTGTGATCTTGTTATTCTAAATTATTTACAACTCTTTAATTTCAACTCAACCTTCAAGATTTTACTTGAGTGTACATTCCTTTATAGTTACCTTAAGTACCGTAGTTACCCTATATCCTTGTATTACTAACCATACTCTATGGCATTTATTTATGCATTTATTTCCCTTTTAAGAGAGACCATAATTTACTTACACACTTAGAGCCACAACCCCTGACATACTGCCCAGTTTACTTGTTTTCAGAAAACTTTTGCATAAATGATCAGTGAATTCATGTCAAAGCACTAGGTATGCTGGTGTTGTGTGGGTGAGTGTAGGAAATATAACATAAATTAAAACTGAGGGGTCAGCAGTTGTCCAATCATGGAGGCCTTATAGAAAAGTGTTAAAACATTAGGCTTTACCCACACTTAGTGATTTTATGTTTGAGGGATTTCTTCAGTGACAATGGTTCAGTGGGTTAAAGAACACCACTATGAAACTATTGCAATCACTGCAGCACGAGTTCGATCTCCTGCCAGGGAAATGACTCACATGGTGTGGTAGACCTCTCCTGACCCACCTGCTGCCTCCTTCAACAATGTATTTCGGTACATCTCCCTGTTCTGCTTTCCACTCTGTCTCTGATAAATCCTCTCACCCCCTGAACCTCTGGCTTGTACCCCAGTTCTGTATGCATACATAAATAAATCTAGAAAAGTGCTAAAACATTAGGCTTTAACTCCCACACACTTTTTGATTTTATGTTTGAGGGATTTCTTCAAAGACAGTGTAGAAAATGGATTAGATGGTATAATAAATTCCGACTAAAAGATTTTGAATTTGAATGATGCTATTTTACCACATTCCCAGATTTTGAATTTAAAGAACTGATAAGATGGCAGCCACAGTGACAAACATTTTAACACTATATAAAACATTAGGTAAGAATCAGGTTGTGGAACTGATTTTAAGTTTTACAATTTATTACACATAAGCAGAAATATTAAGAAGGCAGGTAAGTTTTGAGATATAACAAGAAAAATTATGATCACCAACAGGGGTGATAGCTGAAACTCAAAAGTAGAAGACATTTGAACAAATGTAGATTGTGAAGTCAATAACCAAAACAACTTAATATGATACATTAACATTTAATAGAATGGAGACGCACAAAGGGTGAAGAAAAGAGAGGTGGGCAAGGGAATAGGCAAAAAAGAAAAAATCAGATTATACATATACACAGTGGAGAATTTCAGAGGTAAAAGTAAGAAATTACAGCCCTTGTTAAATTCTACAAAAAGTAAAGAATGACTAGGAAAAATCTTATTGGGTTACTAGTATGTTACTGGTACTTTGCACAAAATAGTAAAGTATTTGAGTTATTCTTGAAGATATGAAACAGTGGAAAATCTCTGCTGGGAGCAATACTCTATGAATACCGCAGATTTCTGCATGATCCAAGTCTTTGCAGGAGAGGGATTTGCAGAGAAAACATCCCTGAATATGAGAGATGGTGTCTACCATAAAGACAGAGATATTTGTTTCTTGACTACTATATTAAAGATTGAGAGCATTTCCCTCTCTGGAAACATCACAAGGACTAAAGTCTCCTCTCTCAGTAAAGCTTTGCTTTATTTCAGAGTAAATATAAGTCTGTCTCTTTTATTTTTTATAATTAAAACCATCTAACAGAAAAATAAATACCACTATCAAAAGTTCAAATAATGAAGTTGTACCTTTCATTTAATAATTTAGAACTGAAAACATGGAACTATTTTTGAGGAAGAAATGGGTATGTGGGTGAACCATACAAGTGTAGCAAAAAGTCAACGGATAAGGAATACTAGACTTGACTGACAACAAATTCTAAGTGCAAAGAACGCCAGAAGAAAGCTAACAATGTACAGAAAACTACCCCCAATTACTCACTACCATTTTTTTATATTCTAATAATTCTTACAGTTTTGTTATACTTTGTTTACTATTTTGTGCAAAGTACCAGTGACATACTAGTAACCCAATAAGATGCTTCCCAATCATTCAGAGGTAAAGTTAGAATGAGGGTGAAAAACAAAAGATGAATTCAAGATAAAGGAAAGAGAAGACACTGGTTAGAAAGAATTGCTCCATTTTTTAAAGTTGATCCAAGATGTAGCCATGCTATTAGGTTGCTCAAATAGAAACAGAGGGTTTCTGAGCTCTGAGAAAGCAGTGACTGAGAGATAGTGAATGGGCTATCAATAAGGGCTTTCACAAAGATCTATATAACAGGAGAGCAGACCAGAAGAAAACATTGTGCTGATTCATTCTGGAAAGTGGAAATTACTGTTATAGCCAATGATGATCTAATCAGATGGCACAGATTTCAGAAAAATGATGATAGTATAACATTAGTAAGTAGTATCGGGAAACATAAAATTGGCTAATTGTTCTTCCCACAATTTGAGATGGTGGTTCATAAGGCATGAAGTGTCATTTGGAAAAAGCTAAACTTCAGTGAAGGCATTTAAAAGACACAAAGAAGAGAATGAGAACAGGGTTGAAGGGGTAATCCATAAAATAGATTATAGGTCATGGGATGATATTAATAAATAGGTGGGAGAGGAAGCTGAACTGAATAGGAAAAGATTTAAGGTCAGTTATCAGCCCAAATTTGCAAAATTTTATGTTAAACAGTGCATCACATAAGGATAATCATGTTCTTTAATCACATTTAGATTATAAAGTCGAAACTGATAATCTGATATTACCAGATTATATTTTATAGAATATGGCTAACATCAAGATTCTGAGTAAAAAAAATAGCACTGTCAAAAAAATGTCAAGAATTATATAATTCATGTGACAAAACTAAACCAAAACAAACCTTAGAAATATGACATAAGAATTGAAGTTGCTAGAGGGGAAGGAGATTTGGGTTGGGAACAAAGTGGGGAGGTGACCCAACGGTGTAGGACAAAGGATCCTGGGTGCTTTGAGGGTGGGAATGGTGTAGTAAAATGCATCCAAGGAGTTGTGAGCCTACTCCCCTTAATCACACACAATGTTATAAAATGTTACTGATAAAGGGAAAAAAAAGAATTACATAGCTTATGAAACAAAAACATACTTTAGGTAGAATTTTTGAAGTTTAGAAAGGCAAGTAACAAACATCTAAACTACATGCCAAATGATAGCAAGTGGGCTATATTGTTTCTGGTATTTCTTTTCTTTTTTAACATATTTGTTCATTTATTTATACATACAGAACTGGGGCACAGGCCAGAGTTGCAGGGGCAGTAAAAGATTCACCAGAGACAGAGTGGGGAGCAGAACAATCAGATGAACTAGGTATACTGCTGAGGGGGAGCAGCAGGTGAGACAGGAGAGGTCTGCTGTGCCATGTGGATCACCTTCCTGGCTGGGGAGAGAACTCGAACTGAAAAGGCTGCAGCTGCATCCTAACTGTTGTGCCATGAGGGAGAACCCTCTTTTCAGGCATTTCTTAATACAAGAAAAAATAATAAATGGGTCATTTATAAAAGGATATTATTCACTATAAAAGTATTAAGAATTATATGGCTTGATGCAAATCAAATGGTTTTCATGATATAGCCTTCCTTTATCCAACATGTAAAGCAGAACTCCTAATATAGAAAATAGTGATTCATATTTGAATCTATGAAATTTAAATATAATTATTGGCATACTTTATTTTATAATATTTAACCTATTATAATTTATCTGAAGTGATTTTTTTTCATTTTAAAAGGCAGACTTCATATTTTCTCTCCCATTTAGATCCCGAATACGCATAAGTTGATAGCATGAAAATTATATTTACATGTGTGAATGTTACCTAACAGAAGTTTAATACAGGTATCCCAAGACTCAAAAAAGAGTTACACTGGAGCTGTATTTCATTTATTGTCCTCCATAGCATGTAGATGTATGATGCTTAGGGATGGTGTTATTGAAATATTTATGGATTGACCACTTTTTATAGACTTGCTTTCTGTCAATTTTTCCCACTTTTATTGACTGAAAATAGGAACTTTATTACAGAACTCAAGTATATAAAATTTAGAATTTAAGCAAAAATGAATTCTGATGAACATAATCTCTTCATGATCAATCAACAGGTATATATATCCAACTACATGGTCTACTTTCATAGAGGTAGTTATTCAGGTTCCACCTCAACTGTTTAAGTTTCTGTGGAGAGTAGAGC